AGTATTAGCGCATAATCTCACATGGTTACGAACGATTATTCATCATAGTAATCGACTATCTTTTTAAAAATTAGTTCCAGTTCGATTCGGATCACTTCGTTTTTGGTCTTTGATAAGCTACTAACTTGTAAGTTAGTTAATTACTAAAAAAGTAAAAGCAAAGTATTACCACTACTTTCGAGACGATTTGTTTTAAAAGGATAGTCAAAACTGAACAAAATACAACACACTCAAGACTTATACATATAGATCGAAGCTGCTATATCGATTAAGTTTTCAAATGAATAAGATCAAGCTTGAAAAAGTTTATTTTTAATGATTAATGAGTATTGTTATTTAGACTCTACCTGTTATCTGTGTTCTGGATCACCCTATATTAACTCTTGTAACTCGTGTACAATTACGACTAATGGCTGCGTGATTTCTTGCTTCTGCGATCCAATATTCGGTACCGCCATTAATACGTCAATAACACTTACACCAGGTGTGGGAAATGGTTGCTTACTTGAAAATTTCAATGGAGATCTTGTATGCACTAGTTATTGTGTTTGAGCAGAACTTCTTTTTTAACTCTTTTATCATGACACAATGTCTATCAATCATGAAGATATATTTTCGTTTTATTTTAAATTTTCTTTCATAAGACACGGTTAATCGTGTGAACTTGGATATAGGATGTGGATGAAAGGACTCATTCTGGCAGCTGTCACCCTCATCTCTTATCAGATTTCTCTGAGATGTCAGATCGAATTTGTGCCAGCTCATCATGTCTTGGAATGAACGGGACGCGGGATGCGATCTTCGTTAAACAGGAAGATATGGAACGTGAAACTGAACAACTTTTCAGCTAGCCATTTCTTGAAGTGTTAATGTTTCATTCTTGTTCTGAATAAAAAAAAATAGGTAGAACTTTATTGAATTGGGAGTATGACTTTGACTGTGATTGTGAATGTAGGTGTAGACATCGATGTGGCTATGAATGTGAGTGTTTCAAGCAAACTACCGGGTGTGAATGTGAGTATTCGGATGGTTTTTTGGGAAGATGAAGATAAGACCTGTCCGACACCCTTCCCGCGAAATCATCAACTCTATAGATATACAGGTATCAAGTAGTGTGAAAGTTAAAACTATTTTTTAAAAATTTTATAGCACGTGTAGATCTATGCTTTTCTTTTCCTAATCATATTTTGAATCGTTTCATAGCTCTCTTCTATGTTATATTTTTCCATTCGTTAAATTGAATAAGGTGGGTTCAAACTACTCCTCGAAAGATGAACTTTAAGAAGTAACTAATTCAAAGTCATAAGAATTGAAATTATGGACACTGATTATACAGATCAACATTTGTCACAGTCACATCAATGAATAGATAATGGAAAAAAACTTTAGATTATCCAAAACTAAAAACGAATTATTTGTACTATGTCAGTTCAAAACCAATTCAGGATCGATGTAAAAGAAGGAACATTTTATGATTTGAGTGAGATCAATGAATGTTTGACATTACTCATTCAGCTGAAACAGACAGGTTTATTAATAATTGAAAATGAAAAACAGTTGAACATATTGCTCAAACAAAAGAAATTAGAAACATCTCAACTTAAACGTCTTCAAAACTATGCTCATGCTCAAAAGCGTGTGAGAAATAAGCAAAAGAAAAAATTGTAAGTAATTACAGAATATCATTTTGATGTTGGTCGTATTTTAACAGTGGACTCTTTTACCTCGTTATGCACATTCTCATGATGAAAAAAAAAATGTTCATACAGTAAATGTGCATCTTCAAACGGCATATAATGATCTTCACAATGAACATGAAGATAGCCATTTTGCTACACAAGATGACAAGTGTAAAGTACCTTTCGACGTACCAGATGCCAAAAAGCAAATGCCTTTACTGATGCATCTCGACTATACTATTCAACAATCGGGTTACGATTTTGTTGTAGCACCTCGTCATGAATTAAGTCCATAGTAACATACAATGAAACTTTTTGGAAAACATTTGCCAAACCATTTAGCCTTGGTTTAGTGTTTATGCTGAATGTTTTATCAACGCTACTGGAAGTACTGGTTATTCAGGTTCAAAATATATTGCATTCGTTCAACTAATCATCGCTATGATTTTGGTCATTTGATTAAGTTACAAAAATTTGAAAATACTGCACTCAACTCTTCGAATAGAGTTCAATCAATTGTTATTGTTACCATCGACGGTGGATCCGATGAAAATCCTCATTTTCTAAAACCATTTGCTTTATTTGTTGATATTTTTAAAACTCATGATCTTGATGCATTGTTAGTACTTATTCATGCATCTGGTCAATCAGCATTTATTTAATGTTGTTGAGCGCTGTATAACACTACTTTCACATGATTTAGCTAGTTTAGTTTTACCTCATGATCATTTTGTCCTCATTTTGATGCCAATGGCAGTATGAGTTGATTTTGAATTTAGAAAAATACTATTTTAAGATAGCTGTTGAAGCGCTTGCTGAAGTTTGGTCTAATACAGTTATTGATTCTTATCTAATATTGGCTTCTTATGTGAATTTGTCTTTTACATCTCAAACATTTTCATATATTGATAAAAGTTGACGTGATCATTATGTAGTACAACAGCAATATACATTGCAAAAAATCCGTTATGATAGTTAGTTGCTTCTGATTGATCAATTATTCAGTTTTTATACTTTAATATAGTTAATCGAGTCACATGTGACTGAACACAGGCACATATACAATTTGTATATCTATAAAAGGTGTAAGCGAGAAAAAAATAATAACGTTTTATCACTATCATGTTAACGTCAAGGATGCAAAGAAAAGTTAAAAATAAACGATAGAAAGGATTAATATTGTGAAAGAACAGAATACAAACAATACTATGACGCATAACTTACATGCGTCATATTTACGTTTTGGAAATGGGAATGTTTTCTTTAGACAAATGAAGAAACATTAATGAAGAAATAGTCGATCATTCTCTTATAACAATACAAACGTGAGACAACCGAATACAGATCAAGTAAAAAATATCTTCAATTATTCACGCAGGTGTTCTGATTGTAAGTGTACTGACATTTTCGTTGGGCTTTGATTCTACGACAAAAGGTATTTCGATTTGTCACTTTAGTAAAGATTTCTAGTCGTACAGTAAAAAATAGTATTTAAAAAGTACAATTTACTTTAAAGCATTTATAGGAAAGTAAATACTTTGGGATTTAAATATATTTTATCACAATTTAATCTGAAACAAACTTTTTTCATAAGCGAGAGAAAACTGAGTTTAAAGTATCACAACGTTTTAAACAAGAAAAACTAATCAGTGAAAAAGCACTATTTACCACGGACTTTAACTGCTGCTAATTCTATCATATTGCAAAAAAAAAAATAACTAGATACACTAATATTCTGATAGAATGCTATTAATTGAAAGTCTAAAAGTTAATATAATACAGTGTGTAATTGGAAAAAGTACTATTAAATACTTCTAAAGGTCCAAAAAAAAAATACTAAAATCCACTTGAAAAAGTGAAAAACAGTAGGAAAATTTTATTTATCTTACTTTATTAATATTGAAAGTACTTAAAAGTGGATTTCTTTACTTCTGTTTTTATACGGAAATTCCAAAATTAGATTTAGGCTAGTAGAAAGTGAAGGAAGACATTAAATAACCAGATTCAAATTCTGAAATTGATAAAGAACTGCAAAAATTGCTTCCCGACTCGGACTGGTCCTGGATTGTATCCCAGTTCGGAACAGTATAACTTTTATTTGATCATAGTATTGTCCAACGAGACAAATGAGTCCAATAGGACAACTGGAGAGGCGATGGATCACTGTCGATTACAACTAATTTTATTTGATTTAGCAGCAAAGATGGAAATGCTTATTTCTAATGAATGCTAAAAATTTCTCAGTTCATGATAACTCAAGAAAACCCACAGGAATCTAGTTTTTTAAAGATAATTGACGGATAAGATTGTCAAACTGATGGCATCAAAAGAGTAACAAATTAATATGACGAGAGAAGTCTTGTTTCGCCACTAGTCTAGAATTGATAAAATGCACCCTACAACCAATACTAAAATCTCATTGCTCATCTTCATTAAGAATCAGTTCGATAATTAGGAAATATTTTAAAATTACATTCATACTCTTCATTTAAATTATAAGACTTCCTGAACTGTTATGCATGTTTTAGTTAAATAATGAAAATTTTAAATTTGGAAGTTGATTCCATACTATCGCTTAGTTTATTATATGCGCATGAATTCATGTATATTGACAAATATAAACAGTAAGCAAGTGTGACTTTTTATCTTCAATGAAGGCAACAAGCATAAAATAAAGGTGTGTATACGGTAAAAATGATTGTTGTCATAAAGAAAACTCGTACATTACATAAACTTATTATCTACTAAATAGCACCAATTCAATTACATTTCAGTTTTTATTATCTTTATTATAGTCGTATTTCATACTTTATTCGATTTTTAATACTGAAGATTGTATTGTTGTATAAGTTTATTATCTTTTAGATAGTTTATTTTACTCATTTATAATGCTATTGGGATTATTTATTCTATTTTTTACAATTGTTTGCTTCTTATGGTTTTATATTAAAAGTCTTTCCAGACGTGATAAGAATAGTAAGTATTATTTGGTCTTCTGTTTTTCATTATTATCACTATCATCATCGATACCATGTATTATAAGAGGAACTTAGATGTGTGCACTCATAAAAACTGGAAAGTCGCTCTGACTTTTGATTCATTTTCAGGAATGAGAGTCAGGATGAAGATGAGAAGAGTGAGTATGAAGGTGAAGATCTAGAAACTAAAGCAAAAGTCGAATCGACTTTTCGATTTCGAGCGATATTGTATACAGTAGTCAGAAAATTGACAACTCGGATAATCCCCTGCAGTCAGTAGAATTAGTTTGATCGAAAAGTTCAAAAATTTTGGAATTTTAGGCAAGAATTTGAATTTCTGCAAATGCTTGAAAGTTTTTCAATTTTCAATTTCAGTGAGTTTTTCACGAGATACAAATGTGTTCTCAACCTACTAACTGTACTAGCGGCTCTTCCATTGCTAATTTGGGTGTAATAAGAAGGCGTATCATTGATTATGCATTCGTGAATTTCCTACAATTTTGTGAATTGCATGAATTTAATTTCAAGAAAGTAAAGAACTGTCAATTTCTGGAAGTGAATAATATCCACTACCCTTTTCTTCATTTCAATGGTTTTGATATATTGTGTAGAATCAAACTTTACATGACCGACACAATCATTTTTGACACAAGACAACATAGATTGACTTTGATTTGCGCGTCAATGATTTAAAATCTTGAAGTTCAATGAATATCGTGAAAGAACAATCTAATAATTGAAAATGTTAGTACTAAAAATCTAGAAGTCTTTAAAACTTCAAAGCCTCCAAATGTTTGCTTTCCACCTTGCTTTTTCAGTATATCTGATGCAGTCTGTTTGAGGCTCCCAAGATGTCTAAATATCTGCTATTTTCTGAAAAAATGCATTACTTTTCTCACTATATATTTCAGCATTCATTATCGATTGTGTTTCGCAAATAATCGAAAAATCAATGAAAACAATTAATTAAAAGGAGAAAGAATTTCCTCAGTATACCTTGGAGTACTTCTATCGCACTATGTCGCAAAAGTGTGTCTTATAGTATATTTTTATACAGTTGCCATAAGATAATATATACTGGTGGGCAGAGAAGAAATCAAATTCTTATATGCATATATTTTAGGATACAATATTTCTAACGAACATATATCATCATCAAATCTCAAGTATACTATTGAACAACATCATGATATATCAAATATTCTTGATATAATTAAAAATAATGATGATTCTAAATTTCAAACATATATTATATGGTTATCAGGTGCTATTGCATGTATAGAAAAAGAAAATTTAATTATACTTACAATTCGTAATCATAATGGTGATTTACTAGCAACATCATGTATTCAAATATTTGATATTGATTTCAGTAAACATCATAAATCAAATAAAATTCAAATATTTTTTCGATGGTTAGAATGGTTTCATATTGTTCCTAGTTTTTGGCGTATCCAAATCGGTATAATATGGATTCCACCATTTTATCAATTTTCTGGCATATATTATCACGTACATGTAAATGAAAATGAATCAAATGAAATAATTGATACTATTCAAAAATATATATTCCAATTACATCCTAATGTACCAATCATCTTAAACATTAAGGAACCAAGTGATAAAAGTAAAAATATAATTATAAATAATGATCGTGAATTTCTATTACCATGGTTTAGGACAATAAAAGCCATATTTCCATCTAATATTGATTCATTAGATACATATATCAATTTGCTATGTAGACATGCAAGAAAAAGAAATCTTCGAATATATAAAAAACAATTTGAAGAAGGTGGTGGTAAAATACGTTATTTATATCCATCATCCAAAGTAGATTTTGATGAAATTCAAATGCGTATGAAAGAATTAACACAATTAAAATTAGAAACAGATGCAAGATATCCATTAAACAAATACACTGGTTCTGATAAATTCAGTAATGAATGGATGTCTTCAATGATGTTAATAAATAAATTATTAAATAATAATCAAATTATATTTATATTTGCTGAAGAAAATTGGAATGAAAATTTACTTGGTTTCGCATTACTGTTTATACATTCGTCTATAAATCAAATTATATTTAAAACAATCGGTCTTCATGATAATGTTCATACAAGACAATTAAGAGTTTATCAAAATTTATTCTTAGCAACAATTGATTGGTCATTACGCAATGGTCATAATGTAATAGATTTCGGTGCAGGACATGAAAAAACAAAAGCTCTTTTACTTGAAAAACAAATTCGTTCATGTGATGATGAACATACACATGCTAGCATTAAAGGAATATTAAAATCAGGAAATCCATTTTATAAATTTATTATAAATCATATTTCAAATCCTGCAAAACAACAGAACAAATGAACCTGAAATTTACAATATACATAAAAACAGTCAAGTTAAAAGACATGAAACATAACCAAAACTATAGTTTTCTTAATAGAGTAATCCTTTTCTAGTTAGTACAACACATGTATATTTGTTCTATATCTTATATTAATAAATAGACTAAGAAATATGAGTAGATAACTTTAGGATGTAGGTGTGGAAGTTGATGTCGGTGAGAAGAACGCACAGAACCAGACGTCTACTTCCACGCTCTTGTCTTTCTACGCAGAAAGCATCATGCTTCTGTTCGATCGTGCGAATATATGGCATAGTAACAATGTTTATTTACTCAATGGTCCATGTAATTCTTGTTGATTTATTGATAAAGGATCCCAACAATAACATGAGCATATAGGGGAGCGTACTGCTTTGAACATATATGACCTTGAAATTGCATTGTATTAGTGTGAAATTCTTCAAAATTTAGTCAAAAAACGGTTGAAATGCTTTCGAGCAATGGAATCAGAAGCAAGCTCGAGTTCATATTTATCCATATGGACATATTCTTTATCGGCAAATATTTCATTCGTACTTCTGCCGAAAATCAATTTTGATCTTTTCATACAACTGCGCTGAAAAGTATAATTAAAACATCGACTAAAACAATCCAATATTCGTGCAAATTTACAAGATATCTTCAATGATTCAAGTGACTCACGTGATCTTTTCATCATTTCATAAGATGTTTTCTGAAGTTTTATTTCACATGATTTTAATATGAGAATAAGAATTGATGATGATATTACAATGATCTCGGAATCAAGTTTATAGACTGTTTTTCTATGTTTTCAAAAACACATAGGTTCATGCATTGCAGTTGATACTGATCATTTAAAATAATAGTCGCCGATGGAATCATGTGAAATGAAACTACAGAGAACATCTTAAACAACGATGAAAAAGTCATAGGAATCGCTTGAAATAGAGACGATTTATTGCGGCTTTATTGGAAGGTAAACTTTCTGGACACTCTGTACTTTCATCTTGGAGCGTATTTCCAATCATATTTTCCTCACCGGAACCGTCTTCACGTGTGTAAACATCATCTTTACACAAAAAAGTCAAAATTCTATTGTATTCAAATAAAAAACTATCTGAACAGTCTTATCGAAATATGGTTCGAATTTTTGACTTGGATCATAGCGAAAAAAATCGAAGACATTTATTGAATCTGATCAAATGGTAATCGTTGTATGTTTTCGATAAAAATGATTCGATGCGTTGAAATAGAATGTTGGCCATATTCACATCATCAATAATACACACGTCGTTCAGTCAAGATGTCTCGATCTTCGGCGTTTAGATGTGAGTGAGAAGCAGACTAACATTCACACACTCATTATTCTTGTTGTATTTAAGCAATCAAGACAAGATTGTGACTCTGATCTACATTGAGTGTAGGTCTTCTGATCACATACATCCTCATCCGTCAGTTGAATCAATGGTTAGAATGTGAATACAGTTAAATTAAGAAAGTAGGAAACATTATAATAACGAGTGAACAGCAACAATTTAAACAAAAAATAGCGCGCCAGTAAAAAAAACAAGAGAAAAAAAGGAAATTCAATTCGAAATGCAGAAATAAATAACACAGATTGTTTTTCTGTCGATTGTTTATCTTGGAAAACTACTATAATGTGCGATGGATTTTCCATTTTACATATTTAGTATTAGTTTTATCCGACTAAAGAACATATGTGAACTTCACATTGCTAATACTCCTCTCATCATCACCGTATAAAATGTCTAAACATTCAACGAGTTTTTATTTTGGTTTTGAAGTTTGAGCTATTTGTATTTTTCGTACATGAGGTTCATTCATCTTTGTTGAGCTAAATATAAAATCGACGGTAGAAGCAGTTGTAGCACAGATAATACCATAAACTTGAGCTAAACGAAGAAGTGCTTGTACATCAGAATTATGAGGATGAGAATCCAAAGGATCAATAAAAAAAATAAGAATATCAAGTTCTCGAGCAGTAATTTTTGCGCCCAATTGTTGATCACCACCCAAAGGACCACTTTCAAATTTAGTTACGGGTATTTGAAGTTCTTTTTCTACTAATGATCCAGTTGTACCAGTACCATACAATTTATGTTTAGCAAGTATATCACGATGTTGTCGAAGACATTCAATTAATTCTGTCTTCTTATTATTATGAGCAACAAGAGCAATTCGTTTAGTTTCACCCATTACAACAAGATTGGATACGTCCTAATAAAGTTAAAAAGACAAATGATTTTATTCTTTTTTAATTTCTATCGCTTATTATTTTTAGACATTCAAACAATATTTACTTTTTCAGTTCTTGAACCATTTTCAAACTCACCAATGACTTTAGCAAGATATTCATCATTTTTTTCTCTTATAATGATACTACTTAAGGTTTGATGACCACCATTTGTAAGATCTGCTTCCAAAAAAAAAAAAGATGTTAATATAAGAAGGTAAAAAATAAATAAAACTTTACCATTGCTGGTATAGAAGTTTTGTAGTGCCTTCTGAAAAAAGAAAGAAGAGTAGATTGATTTGAAGATAAAAATGAGTTCAAAAATCTTAGATGCATTTGAATTTACTCCTCTGATTTTTTCAGTTTGTAAGTTGTTAATAATGATGTAACTTACATTTAAGTTCCATTGATATTGATTAAGAAATCGAATTGAATCTTCGAATTTGAAATAAGTTACAGCCTAAAATTAGCGAAAGTGAGATCGAAACCGATGGCAATAATATATATTTACTTGAAAATAATCAAGAATTTGTCCTCGTGATTGAAATCCGGATTCATTTTCTTCCATTTTATCGATGAAAATCTTAACCTATAATTAAAAAGAAACTCGACTGATAATGATTTTATTTTTCATAATATCTATTCATTGAATACAACAGAAAAAATTTTAATATAATGACTGAGATGAAAATCTTTGTAAAATTATTTGAAATTTCAAATAAAGATTTATTCGATTTTAACTATTCAAAGTTAACTTTTAGGTCATATTTACATACCTTGAATTCAATTTGAATAATGTTGATATCAAATGTGTGATATTGAATGAAAATATTGTATTCTATTGACAATATTCATTTTTATAACCAAAAAAACAACGGAAGAAAGAGTCACTAGGAATATTTCTTGTGTAATTTTCCCGTGACTCAATCTAGCGCTGCATGACATATGAAGCACGCACTGATGGTTGCTATACAATGTGTTTACAAAGTCATGCTTATTTTTATGTCATCAGTACAAATCAGAAAAGTTATGTTGTTTTTCTTTAGTGAAAGAACACGAACGATCAGCAAAATACATGGTATAATTTTCGAACAATATTTCGTTTCTTTCGTTCTGTACAGGTATTTTTTGTGTCAATCAATACGTAAGAGAGAGAATTTCGTTGAGATGATTGGGTGAAATAAATGAGAATATAAATATATAAAATGATCGACATGAATCATAATGACCCATTATGCATTTGAAGTCATATTATCCATGAATAAAGATTTTTTCAAGTCATTTTCACATAAAATATTGATCAGTATGATCACTCAAACAACATACTAAAATTAGAAGCATACAATTAAAATCAAAATGATATATTTTCAAGAAAATAATGGTTGAGTTCTGCTTAAAAAGGTACTTGTGTCCTTGCTCTAAGCATGATGAGAGATTTTTCGCCCGCTCTATAACTTTTTCCTGATCAACCATTAATATTATAAAGCTATGGACATATTAGAAGACCCGGGGTCTTCTATTTTGTCTTAACGTTCACAAGTTAAAAGGAGAGTCTTCTATAATGTCTCTAAGAAAGTCATGTTTTGTGATAGTGTCAACGAAAGTTTCTTATTTTTATATTTTTTATTGCGCAGTATATCGTTAGTAAACGGATTTATTCTACTTAACTGAAGCTCGTATTATAGAAAAAAGAGATAATATTATAAGGGAAAAAAAATCTTGGTAAGGAGTGTCTTGATGCATTACAGACAACATATCATAAAGCTAGATTCTATTTATAAAAATACTACTTTTCTTGTTTATTTTAAGGTTTTACTAGTATAGATACAATATACTCTTAGAGCGAAATATACTACGGTTTGAATTGTTAGTTTACAGCTAATAATTTGAATGAATCTGATTATTCACTGAGAAACAGTCCGTAGAAGGAAATCGTTGAATGCACGTTGGCAGTGTTTTATGACCATTAATGTATACATTGGCATATTTTCGCGATAAAAAAATCTGCTCTCATGCATATAAGTCTATTTCACAAGACACAACTCAATGCATTTCTACGGAGATATGTTTCTTTTCGAAGTATGAATGCGCTCTTTTGTGATAAGAACTTGTCCGATTTTTAGAAGAAAGTATATAAGCAAAGCGAGATTATAAATAATAGACAACGAGATTTTACTTGATATGTTCTTATTTCAGAAGGTCTCTTCATGACTGGCATGCTTGAATGCGTACGGCGTTAATAAGATTCTATAACTATGAAACGAATCTTTCCTCGAGAAAATCTAAAAACTTTCTTAAGAACATACCTTAAAGAAGTAGTAAAGTGAGTTCAATGCACTTTCTTTAGTAAGAAACGCACTTTCTAATTAACTATTCTTTTTTATTAACTTTTTTCACAGATGTCTAAATTGGAACTGACATATTGCTAAGACGACGGTAGCAAAATATTCTCCATATTGAATCCAGATATTAGTATGTACATAAAAGTCAAAAAATCTCTATAATTTGCCCAAAGTTATTTTAAAAAGTCATTTCTCACAGGGAGTCTTCTAATATGTCTTTTGTATCGTTTATTCGAAGGGGGTCTTCTATTATGGTGAGTTATATATTATATTTAATTGTAAATTTTTTTATTACTATGTTTTCAAGAAATGTTTATTCATAAATGAGCATCTATTCAATCGATTTTGATTTTATTTTCATCGTTAAATTTGATTCCAATATTTTTTACACAGTAGAACTTTATTTTGCACAAATCAAATCGATTTCGAACTAGAGGGTGTGGGTGCAGGTGTTGGTACTTATTCTAATAAATATCACGGTCATAACCACACCCACACCCATTGTTCGAGCATGAATTTGAATCACAATCATTGTATTTTAAATTGCAACGTGCTCTGAAATGATCTAATGAACAAATACAATAAGATTTGTTTTTTTTTTCATCTGTAGATCGTAACAATTAGATTAACATAGTGTGTTAGCTTCGCAGTAAGCCTCACATAGACGCTCATACATACTACAATTTATCTCATAACAATCACTTTTGCATGAACAATAATAGGAATTGTTTTGGTTAAAAATTGGTATACAGATGGAATTTTCATTGCAACTATTTTGCCAATACGGATCAAGTGTTACATTTCCAAACCACGATGGAAATCTCAATATGATTGCCAGACGAAATGTCGGTAAACAGTCAAAATAAATTGGATAATGCCAAGAGTCAAGTCCCTCAGTACTATAGTTCTTTTCAAGAACGAAGACATCAAAATGAACAGAATATGGATTATAGAATTTATGTGTGATGACCTTGTTTCTTTCCAATGCTGGAACAACATGAAATTCATGATGATCAATAATTTTCTTATTGAAAAGAAAATTTGCTTTGATTTTGAGTGTGATGTTCGATATTATCGTTAGAAAAGTGGGTGTGGATGAATTGTGGCTACGATTCATGTATCCGCAACAGCCATACTCACACCCACACCCTGGTCATTTTCTTCTTCAACTAATCGAAGCATGATTTTAACTATTGATCGAGACGAAGAAACCCATTGTAAGAAATTTTATATTCATATTAAGTGCATTGACGCGTACAAAACAAAGCTTGCTCAAATGAGATGAAAAGTTGTTTTGCGACAGGGTTAAAATCGACCTGACAAACGATTCAGATTTGAGCGGACTGGCTAAGGAAGTCAACCGTTTGATGGACGATCGGTATTTGACTTGTTAAAAAATTTTAAAAGTCTCTCTATTGACCTAATATTTCAGTCATAAAAATTGAGGATAAAAACGTGGATCCTGTCAACTTCCAGGCTCACTTGGGGTTCACTACAGACCATCATAATTAGGGTAGGTCAGTTATCTATACGTTTGCAAGTACGATCCTACATGATTGTTATATGAATGGATATTTCATTCCTTAAGCTAGAGGAACTGTTCTCCTTATCTTTAACGAGTTTTAGAAATTGTTGCTATTATCTTAAAGCCAGATTCTTCGCGAGATTCTAAATTTCAAAAGTAATGCTTTCAATATAGAATTAAATATTCCGAAGTATTTATTTCTTTTCTTTTTGCCCATTACGACCTTGCTTCAAAATTCCACTAGAAAGACTAGTTTTAATTCAATTCATTTTATTTTTATTTCTTGTGTTGTTTTTTATACTGTTTGATGATTCGCTAATATTTTAGCATGCACATTCTTGACTATGGTTTTTGACTTGCATTTTCTCTGCAATCAGTTCTAAAGCATGCGTTCTTCTTCGATCGCATAATTTTCCAATACAATATCTGTATTTTTCTTCGTCATCGATCTATCTGCAATCTAAAAAAATAAGAAGTTAAGTCAAGCGAATAGAGAGTGACATACATTGTTTGACGAGCAGCAGCCTAAGAAATCCTTCCAGGAAGCTAACAATGAGGAATCGATTGATTTCGGATCATTTGAACCTGTATCGAAAATTAAAATATAAAAGCAAAAAAATTACATTTCTTATAAGAAGCCTACCAAAAACAACACTGCTGAGGAGACCAAGAATGATGACGAGCAAGAGACCATTAAAATTATACCATAAATAAGAAACTGAGTAAAGCGGCAGGAAAGGATTTGTTCTAAATAATTTATATTAATATATACTTTATTTCAGCTCAGTATCAATACTTCTGGTTTGCCAAATTTGGTAGAGTAAAATTGATCGCTGGTGAACATTTATCAACAGATATTGTCAGTCGTCCATCTTGCCCTATGTGTTGTTTCGCTGTCAGGGTTGCTCCAATCATCACCCATGTTTGAAATGCCAAACAGAGAAGAAACGCGACAACAATACTCTGAATACGCCAATGCCATATTTAAATCGAGATGAAAATGAGCTTACTTGACTCTTGACTCGTGGTGCAAAAAATCCAAGGAGAAATACACCGAGAATGGGTGGTACAAATGAGCCGGCAATTTGAAAAACAATCTATGTGTACACGAGCTAAGTATAAAAGAGTCAAGAAAACTATAGATTAGTTACCACAATGATGTTGTTTCCGAGATATGATATAAAATAAGCCAGAAGCGTAATGAAAAAGCCGATGAGAACCGCTATGAAAGAAATATTTGTAGTTAAGCATGAAAAGATAGGATTCAACTCACACAAAACTTTGGAAACAATCACTTGTCGCTTATCAGATATGATGGATCCAGTGGAAATTCGCTTATAGATATCTTCCAAGATGACTGTTGCCATACTGTTTATACCACTCGATATTGTGCTTAACGATGCACTCAAAATACTTGCAACAAAAAGACCAGTCAAGCCTGGAAATCGTCCAAATGTTTGAATAACAAACAGAGGATACAACTGCAAATCAAACACTGAGTTGTTAACATTTTTGACAAGCTTTGTAAAATCCTTACTTGATCCGGTTTCGAAATAAGATTAGCTCGAAGAGGGTCACAGTGACTATACGTAGCATAGAGGACGAATCCAACGCCAGCACATAGAATAAGCATAGTTACGAACAAGGCATAATTGATCCAAGCAACTCTTAAACGAAATCTTCAATACTATCAATCTCCAATTACTATATGAATTGTAGATACCTTTGTGCAGCCTTTGTACTTTTGACGCACATGAATCTTTGTGCTTGAGTCTGAAGACATGCACATATTGCCACAGAATAAATACTACCTCCGACCAAGACGCTCCACACCGTATAGCGAACAGATGGATGTATAGTGACACTAAGCACGGTTGAATAAAACTCTCGAATATTTTTTTCCTGTTAACATACATGAAAAAGTTTATGCGATCACCAGCCATAGCTGTTTGAAAAACTTTCGCTATGCCACCAGCATCGATGCAACCTTTAAAATCACAAACTTATATGCTGTGAAAGTAGAATTCTTAGCCATACCGAAGATAATTGACAAAATCATACCAAGAAACATCAAAATAGATTGTGAAACATCTGTCCAAATCACGGCTTTCATTCCGCCCTATATATCATTTATGCTCAACACCAATAGTTAAGAAATTACTAACTTACAATGCTTGTATATAATGTGCAAATCAATCCACAGGATCCGATAGTCAGCCAAGTATGCAGTCCAGTAACTTGACTTAATGCTGAACTAGGTCCATATAGAATAACAGCCATAAAGATGGTCTTAACATACTATTGTAATTGTCATTATATACTGAAGCTGTTACTTACATAGATTAAAGAAAAAACTATGGTTACAATAATACGAACTGACAATGAGAAACGTTGTTCGAGATACTATCCAAATACAAAGAATATTCAGCACTTCAAAAAAGACAACTGCACGTACCGCATATATACTGACATGTCCGATCTGACGAAACTTTGGTATAAACAAGTACACCGTAATGTAGGTTCCGATAAGCCATCCGATAACTACAAAAAACAGATATGATAGTAAGTGCACAAATAGTATCGTAAAGTTTTCAAATTCACTAAGAAGACAGTATATCATCGGGTCTCAGTTGAGAGACACGTTCGAAGATTTGATAAGAGAAATAGATGCCGTAAAAAGTAAGAGTTACTATCATTTGAAAAAATAGACAGAGAAAAATTTCAAATCCGAAAATTTATGACTTTCGATATCTTGACACATCTCTTTTTGAATAGACAGTTTTCAAGTAGAACAAGCTCAAAAATTAGATCTTATCTTCAAAAGGATTCTTAAAGTGAACAGTGTGAAACTCTGTGAAATTGTTAGTAGCTGATTACATAGCACGCTTGACGTTTTAGATCGGAGACGCCGTACTAGAATAAGATGATAAAACGATACTAGCCTCATGTCAGGTCGAGACGGATAGAACATAAACGTATGTGAACACTTGTGAGAAAAATGAGTAAGACTCTACAAACATATTATACACCGGCCCACGAACACATTCCGAGAATTAACCCTTATATGATCGAATAAAAATGTCGAAAAAATGAACTAAAAAATACCGAAAGATAAAAATATCGAACGATTATAATGTCAAAAGATAAAAAAATCGAAAGGTAAAAATGTAGAACATAAAAATCTCGAAGTATGTAATGTTGAAATGTAAAAAGATAGAAAATATAGACATAATTTTTTAGTACAAGACAGAAAGTTCATTGTACTTATTTCATTTGAAGAGTTCACATATGCAGAAAAAACTGTTTTATAAGGAGGATGAAAGTAAAGGTGAGGATGAGGATGGGAGTGAGAGTGCGAATGAAGATGGCGGTGGACGCTACTATTCGGTATGTGTACTTCGATATTCTTATTTTTCAATATTTATTTTTTATATATTTTTACTTTTGACGTTATTAGGGGGATCATTTAAAGGAAGATATTCAAAACAGGTTTTCTCGCTTAGGATGTGTGATATAGATTTCAATACAGTCCACAAAATCTAAAAAATCTACTGAGTTGTATCATAGTATGAGACAATCTTTCGTAATACTGAATAATCTGAAAAACTAAGAAACATGCTGTAACTCTGAGAATTCATCGATAAAAGTGCACGGAAGAGGGAACGTTGTTGCGTTGTACTGTTTAGAGGCATGCACTTGAAATTCTTTAAGAGAGAAGCAGAACGTAGGTTTTGTCGAAGACCGGTAAATTGAAATAGATCTTAATGGATTCTGATAAATTCATTATTGTATTCGTTGTGGTTCGCTAGGATCCTGATATCCTAGATCCTCAACTTGATTTTTGATGAAAGTCATATGATTATGTGACTAGTACAAAAAAATGTCAGATAAGCTGATCTAAACATGAAGATAGAGAGAAACTGGAATAATTGAATAAGAGAGTCACACATCGGTTCAAGCTTTACAAAATTCTTTTCACTAGACGAATTGTGTCATGGGACGAAAGTTCATTTTAAGAATCTCATCCTCTGAGATAATATGAAACCAACTAGTTTGTTTCACGAAACGGTTTTCTTGTCCCAGGTCATTCCATGTGAAGGTATGATACTTACTATAATATAGATACATCGTTCCATATGCATAGACTTCTACAGGTGCTCCAAGCAGAGTCGCCGCAGACGTAATACTTGCCAATAGACTCATGGCAGTAGGTAGAATCTACAGGATTAGTATTAGAAATATTTTATAATTTCATAACAAAAGAAGCTTTTCACCCCGATTCGACCATCAGCAATAAGAAACTCCTTTGTAGTGAGTTGTCGCGAACGAATACAGCCATGATAGAGCCCAATGCTAGCCGATAAGCCTAAATAGTCCACATTGAGAGATAAGTATTAATGAATATTGCTTATCTATACACTTACACAAGAGTAGAAGGAGAACTCCATAATCAATCCAGCCAAGATACATCTGAAAAGACTACAAATGAACACGAATGTTCTACAACTCCGCATATGTTCAATGCCTCTCGATCTGTACTGTTAATGTCGATGAATGTATTAATGAAGAGACGATAGATTTTGAAAAAAAAGAAAAAGAGCAGAAAAGAGAGAGTATCAAATTCTTCAGGATCTGGGCCAGTTTGAAGTTTTGCATGTACTTGAGTCAAACATATGCTCGTACTTTATGACTTCTTCAACAAATATACTACTATATTCTGTATGAGAAGCATAACAGCATATATCCACACATCTTTCAAATGACCAGAAATCAGCTTTCATGAAACCCGTATTTTTCACTAGAAAAGTTGGGAAAATTGATGATATTGCGAATATATTATTTTGAATGTCAGAATTGAAGAGGTTTGAGAAAAATATGAATAACTGAAGCAGTGGCAGATCCAGAAGTTTTTGAAGGGAAAGTGCGGTATAGCAAAGAAGGGGGCAGATATGATCAAAATATAAAGTTTTGAGTAAAAATCACAAAAAACAAACATGAAATCAGTTTCAAAGGGGGATACGGCCGCACCCTCCCTCACACTTCCCCTGGATCCGCCCCTGAACTAAAGAACAACTAGCTAGTGAGCCGTGGTTTCCACTAATCGATAAAGAAACCTAGAAGACATAAGTTTTAATGTCAAGAGTTCAGCAGCTCTTCTCGGCTCGGATTGAATCTAGTTATGTTCAGCTCAGGTAAGGTCACAAAAAATTCATCCATGTCGGACACTACTCGCTAGTATCAGGAAGCCGATTGGATTCTACTGCCGGAAACCGACAAGATCCCAGCGTAGCTAACACGATTGAATGCTGTATTATAATGCCATCAAAACATAGCTGCATTCTGTAGGTATTGAACAAAGGCTAAAACAAAACTGTACCAACTAAACTCACATGCATGCAGATTAAAAAACGAAGCAATTATTTATTCTCGTATACTTCTGTAGAACATTCCGCTATATTGCCGTATCTTCCAGATCAGATACATTAATATTAAGAAAAATATGATTCCTACACGAATGTCCACAAACGTCTAGTTTCGAAAAGAATTATCCACACCTCAAATACTTCTCTTCGTGTGATCCATCGCATCGAGTTCACTTCTGTGAATCAATCAATCAATAAGAACTCGACAAACCAGTTAGAAAAATTACGTTAGTCGACCCAATCAATTAATATTCAGACTGTTTGCACGCTTTTGATCGGACTATATAATAATGAACTTCTGATTAGTCTCGATTAACCTTAATAAGAGTGTTTCGTTCGTACAATTGTAGAAAAAACTGGGCTAAAATCTGATGAGCTGAGAAGCTGTTTTTTTTAGTCAGTCAGATTGTAACGAAAGTTTTCTTCTCCATTGTAAGGATAAAACATAAAGTTGTTCCGACCATTTAGAGATTAACCAAGATGCTTATTCATATAGCCTGAATAACCACATTTATCAAGGAGGAAATGGTGGATTTAGGATTTTGAGATTTTTTGAGATTTTTATGGATTTTGAAATTTGAAAATTACAAAATCCAGATCGTGAATGATGAAATTTTCGTCCGAATTTTTCTTCATATACAAATTTCGTAGTTCTTAGAAGACTCTAAAAGTTCAGCGCAAACAGATGTTTTCTTCTCAAGATAATGAACTTGCAAGAAATACTAATATTCCACAGTACTATCAGAATCGAGTTTTTTTGAAAATTCAATATTTCTAGAAGGAAACATCTGTTCGCATTGTAACTTTTAGGATCTTTTATGGATCACAAGACCTATATATAAGAAGAGTTTCAACTTGAAATGATGTCATTCATAATAAAACAACGCTCTTGAAATTTGGGATTTTTTTAGGATTTAAAATCCAGAAAGAACAGCTGTTTTTCCCTTGATACTTATGCTTTTATAAGTTAATTGGCTGACAGAAGCAACTTATAGTCAGTTAGGCTGAAAACACTTATTATTTGCTATTGGAAAGACTAAACATGATATTCTTTGGGTTATTAGACAGAAGATCTCTGAACGGCACGAATAATACTATATTTTTCTGTACGATACTGTATTAGAATCATATTTAGATCTAATAGGCTTCGATCTGTTTTTGGTGTCAGCCGAAGATACTTCAAATTAGTTATTCTCCACTATTTTAAGACCAAAGCCAAGTGTTTTCATGGCTAATTAGAAGGCCATCAGGGATCTTCTTATGTATGGCCCGAACAACACTATTTTAGGTACTTATAGTAAAGAAAACACTATGATGCAATTTGATCGGCTGATAGAATAAGCTCTTAACTAGTCAAATTTGTTAGGTTAACACAAAGGATTATTTCGGCTAGAGATAGAACTAGTGTCGATATGGATTTCGGCCATATAAAATAGAACGTCAGATAAGTTTGCGATCAATCCAAAGAATACTATATTTGGTATTTACAATAGGAGAGAATATTCTTGCTAAACTTTAGAGAGTTGAGACGAAAAAGCTTCTATTCAAATAGACTTGAGTAGGATCCTTCTTTGCTATTGTATGGACAAAATAGAGTATTGCTCAAACCAATACTTGGACAGAAAGAATCATGCTTTCCGATTAGATAAATTGGAAGGAAAGGTCATTTCTTCACCAAAAAACGAAAATATGATAGTCCTTCTGCAAAAATTCGAATACTTTTTGCCAAACCTCTTAAAACCCTCATGTTACGTTCGGGATAAAACATGGTTTTAAGTACTATTAGTTATTTCTCTGGAAGAAAGTCCAATAAAAACACGTTCTATCAACAGAATCTCGCAAAAAGTAATTGAATTCAGTATTATTTATTGAGTTTCACTCAGGAAGCCATATGAACACTGCCAAAATGTCCAAACTTTCTGTTGAGTTTTTGATTACTTCCATTTTTTAAAACAATCGCGAATGCTGTAAGAGATTCTCTCTTATATGAATCGAAAATTCGTAGTAGTCGACAAGATCCGTTATAGCTTTCGATCTAATAAACTGTTAACGACGATCTTTGACAAAAACTGAACGAACCGTGTCACATATCAAGGATATCGGGTCTACGAATGATGCGCACGAAGTAAGAAATCCGATTCTGAAAGACCACGCGCACCCGCATCCTCATTCTCATACTCGTCCTTACTCTCACATCACAGCGCCGCCCACATCGTCACTTTGCATCTTTATCTGCGTCCTCAAAATCGTTTGAAATCACCCTGTGAACTTTCGTCGTGCGCATTTTTCCGGATTCCCAAAATATCGAGGATATTGGAGATGCCGTATTTCCTGATTTTTCCATTTTTAGCCAAGGACCCAGCCGGTAGATGCGTCTCTCTATCAAATGTGGCATCTCCGATTTCCTGTTTTATGGCACTGCTGAGCTGAGCAGTCCGAATAACTTGTTTTTTATTTTGTGAATGATACTTCCAGTTATAAAAAACCTTTGTTCTGAAATATGAGTTGAAAAGTACTTGATCCTTATTCAAAACAAACACGATTGATTCTGGATGCAAAAAGTTGGCAGGATCCTATAGAAATCTTATCGAAGCATATCTCGATTTCGCGAGTGGAACATTGTCGAAAATTCACTAGTCTCGACAGCCAAACTCATTCGTGATTTCGTAATCTAGATTACGCCACCTGATCGGATCTCACCGAATTCATTGCCGACTTTAGTTACCTGGGATATTACTTTTATACAACCTCTTAGTTTCTAGAGCTCTTCTATTTAAGAAGAAACCGCCATATTATAAAAATTATCATCACTCGTCCTGTAAAATTATGAAGTTTAGTCACTTACCAGTGCGCTTTCTATAGTTCGTACAAAGAAATGAATGCAATAGAAAAACTGAGCGCATGCTTCATGAATTCGTTATTCATTTTGCATTATTATTTCCTAGTAGATTTGATGACGAAGTAAACATTTCTACTTTTGTGTCAATATATTTGACTAATTATTTGCTATAAAAAAAGCCAAAAAAAAATACATTCATCATTTGATAAACACACTTCAAATGTAATATTCCTGTTCACTGAACTGTGTCAACGTATGCAATGAGTAAGGCTGCATTTGCTACGCGAGGGTGTGGGTGTGGATGTCTTTACTTACACAACGCCCACACCTACACCCTCAAGAAAGTTTAGTCACTTACTAGTGCGCTTCTTATAGTTCGTACAAAGAAATGAATGCAACAGAAAACCTGAGCGCATGCTTCATGAATCCGTTATTCATTTTGCATTATTATTTCTTAGTAGATTCGATAACGAAGTAAACATTTCTACTTTCGTGTCAATATATTTGACTAATTATTTGCTACAAAAAAAGCCAAAAAAAAAAATACATTCATCATTTGACAAACACACTTCAAATGTAATATTCCTGTTCACTGAACTGTGTCAACGTATGCAATGAGTAAGGCTGCGTTTTCTACGCGAAAAAAAATTGCGTATACAAATATGGCATATGCGCCTTCTTATAAATTGAATAAATAACATTTTTCACTTTTCCAATACGAATTTCAATTTCTATCAAACGCTTTGCTCCCATTAAAAAAACGTTCATAGGGTGAATACGATGATCGGGATATCAGGCACTTATGAAGCTATTTCTTATTCGACTTAAACCAGTTGTTAATTATTAACTTTGTCACGTCTTGAGGTCTGTTCAAAAGGAAAACAAAATAAGAATTTATTGAGTTTGGAGTGGGTGTGGGTGTAGGTGTAGGTGTGGGTGTAGGTGTAGGTGTGGGTGTAGGTGTGGCTGTGGATGTTCTTTACTTACACGACACCCACATCCACTCTCACACCCATACCCTTTCTATTGCATTTATTTCTTTGTACGAGCTATTTAGAAGCGCACTAGTAAGTGGCTAAACTTTCTTGAGGGTGTGGATGTGGATGTGGGTGTAGTGTAAGTAAAGAACATCCACACTCGCATCCACACCCACACCCTTTATGTGTTATAACCTTGCCTCTTTCTAATGCTGGAACAACATGACATTCATGATGATCAATAATTTTCTTATTGAAAAGAAAATTTGCTTCGATTTTGAGTGTGATGTTCGATATTATCGTTAGAAAAGTTTTTTTCTCGAGATATGCAATAATACTGATTTGATCATTGAAGAATTCACACCAACGACCATAATAAATAGGCAGACATAGACATTGAGTTTCATCCATTTGAAGAACAGCGACTTCCCGATTACACCAATATGAATGGTCTTTGAAAAATGGATTGTTTCGTACATGATTGATTGATTTTGATATCTGTTATTGATTGGAATCTACCATATGATCAGGCGGATATCATATCAGGAAAAGAGATTCAAGCTGTCGCAGTAAGACATGAGTTTTGTCAAAACAATATTGATTTTGATTTATGAGAGAAGCCGACGGATATCAATACTCGTCTTCTCCATTGGAATAATCCGATTTTCCATTGCATCGTGCATTCGTCTTGCAATGATTGTTGTTAAAACAAATGAAAGCTTTCATATTGAAGTATGACCCATTTTTATCTCGATAATTTGAGCAAAGAATATGAGTGCAGTTATTCAGTTCACTGCAAGTTTTGAGGTAATCCAGTGAAAAATTTTCAGGATTGAAATCGATTATAGTCCATTAGAAGAATTTTAATCGATAAAGAAATTCAATTCGTACCAATTATAATTTAGATTTTGTTTCACAATAGTCATAGTGTAAATCCTCATATATTTGGCTTCAATCCAACCTCGATTGATTTTTTTATATACTGTTGTACTGGTTCCCAAACGACAAGATGAAATAAAAATAGATAGAGACCTTTCTCATGTAAAGAAAAAGATGGAAAAAATCAATTAAAATAAGATTTTTTCCGTCTTTTTTACATAGTAATTATCTTTTCTAATTCTATGATACGTGTTAACTGAGTTCAATCTCTTATTACCTGTTTATCAATTTTAATCTGTTATTATTAATTGATTATAAAAGTGTTTCAAATTGAAATGGTGCCATTACATCAAAAGTCGATTAAACTTTTAAGATATAGTTTATTTCTGTAATATAACAAAAATAAGAGTAGAATTAATTATCCACTATTGGAATCATTTATAGTCTATATTTATCATTCTGAAGACTTGCTTTCTATAATGCATAGTGTAAATAAACACTAAAGAAGAAACAGACAGTCTAAACTTGCTTGCACTATAAGGTATATCGATAACTAATATGTCCATTTGATTTCTCATCTAAGTACAAATCATTCCATCTTAGAGCTCATCAAATTGTTCTCGAATCCAAACCCAGCTAATTCGAGTCTGAATACTTCTTGTTGACCAGGCTCGAGTCCGAGATTGTGAGGCTGTTAGTGCAGATCATCGATACCTCACTCATGCGTACTAGAAACCAACACGCACACATATCCCTCGTATTTGTCCAAATAATTTGCTTATGCATATACCTTATTGATATTTACCAATCCATTTATAACCGACTGATAAGATTAAAATTGAATTTTCATGAAAATCTGATTATAATTGCAATAATCGTTAGTAATCGGTTGAAAATTTATGAATTTGATTTTTACCGATTGAAATTTTGATCGATTAAAACGATTCAAATCGGTTGCCGATGGAAAATTGGATTACTACTGAGATAATCAATAATAATGAGTGAAGCAGATTATTTTTTCAATCGATTTACAAATTTCAATCGAACTTTCCTACAAGAAGTAGAATGTTTATAGAAAAAATGAGATTTATACACAGGTAATCAAAAATAATCATAATTTTCTTAGGCATATTTTTTAGTGGATATAATAGTTTTCAAAACAGAATTCTACAAGAAGTGATAGGTTACGTTTAGATCGGATTCAATCGAAGGCCAAGTGAGTCATCATGACAAGCGTTCCTTGTATGTGCTAGAAAAACAAGTACTTATATTTTGGTACATTCTTAGTTCCGTTCTTGAGTCATCGTATGTATATTCCTTTTTGTCTTGTTCTTTCATCATCAATCTCTTTCGTTGAAACATTGTTCTTTTCCTTTCGTCATTGGAGGTCATTGTATACGGGTATTATTTTATATAGTTCGTGCGTCATACCTTTTTCATCGAATGCCCGTTTTTTGCTCTTCGTCATCAGATAATGTGCACATTCTGTTTCTCTCATTCCTATATAACCCATACTCTTCTATGTCATATTTATGATTTTTATTCGTTCTACAATACAAAGATACCTTTACTACACTATTATGACTGTTCGTGTGGTATCGTATAATTTGTTAGTGCCAATATTAGCTAATCGACCAGAACATTACTGTAAATGCCAAACTCAATTTCTTGAAACTGACTATCGATGGAATTTAATTCAATCCGAGTTAGAACAAGAGATTACCAATCATGAAGATACAGTAATTTGTCTTCAAGAACTATCTCTTTCTTGGTTACTAAAACTTGAATTATTTTTTCGTCGATTAAATTACAGTTTCTTTTATAACCTTTATGGTGAACGACGCAAGGATTATATGGGTGATGGCATGGCAATTCCATTTTCGATGCAACTCAATTCTATTTCGATGATCAAAATTGGAGATCATATACGATCGATCAGTAAATATCGTGAAAAAAAAGGAAATATTTTAACATGGGGATGGGATCTCTACCAGTCTCTCATGAGCAAATTCATAGATCCGGTATCGGATCCTTGGCAAACTGCTATGAATAGATCCAATATTCTTATTTGTTTACAAGTCGTGATTGATAGTAAACCATTGTATATTGGTACGTACCACATGCCTTGCCTTTATAAAGAACCCCAAGTTATGGCAATACATTCGTCGGTGGTAAAAGATTTGATGTTTCAATTATCAGCTGGTCAAGATTTTATTCTAGCAGGTGATTTTAATATTCAACCGTCGAGTGCCTGTTATCAAGCTTTAACAAAAAAAGGTTATATGCATCGTAATTTTCCAGAATCCAGCAATTATGAAATCTCTTATCAACCAAATAGTGAACAAGTACTGAAGAGTGCCTATCAAGAGAAGAACGGAACGGAACCTGTTTATACAGATTTTTCTTATACACCACATTCACCAAACTTTTGTGCTACACTTGATTACATATTCTTTAATGGTCATCTCTTGGTGGAAAAAGTATTAGAATTACCAGATCATCCTACTGGTGAATCTTATCCCGATGAGACACATCCTTCAGATCATTTGATGATTGCAGCAACATTTCGATTATTATAATTTAATTTAAAAAAAAAGAACACCTTTGTTTCTTCTAACACTATCAATAAAATAAATCTATATTAAGTCACAACATCCGAATTTTTCTACATATCAACAAAGAAAATTTTGATTACACCAGAAAAATATCTGTGAAGATTAAAAAAATGCTTTGTTGCTGTGAGTTTATCTTGATTATTGTTGAAGTTGTATGTCAGTTCTGTTGAACATAAACAATCTTCAAGAAATTCAAAATTGATCTTTATGATCTACATTCGAATGAATCGCTTTGATAGACAATGTGAATTGCAATAGAAGAAACGATGAATTCATTGTATAACATCAATAATGTGACTAATAAAACCATTACACTAAACATCGAATGATTTTCTGTTCTTCAATTTAGAGCTTTTCTCAAGTAATTGACTGATATGTCAAGAGGTATCTTTTCTTAAATAAAGCTTACTCAAGATTTAATTTTTGTGAGTGTTAGTTTAAAAAAATATAAAAAAGATTAAACATAGTTCGATTTTCTATTTGTAACTGAATATAAGAACTTGTGTACATAGACTATTTTCCATCGAAAGGAAATATATTATTTCTTTCGAGACATAGTATATTCGTTTTTTTAGACATATCATTAATATTGTTTGTTTAATGGATGTTATGAAATATCTTCCAATTTAATAATATATTTAGTTTTATGAAGTGAAATAGAGTACAAGATATGAAATGAGAGTAGGAATTGATTTTCATTGTATGTCAGGATAAAATTGAGTTTTTTATGAAACATGATTCAAAAGGAGTGTTGAAGTATAAAAGTAAAAAATAGGGACCTCCTCCCTCACAATGGACAGAAAAATGGTGCCAGGAGCAACCCCTAAAATTTCTATAGAGTGTGGGTAGATCTGAATGAAGAGAAGATCTGCATTCATACTACACCCACACACAGACGACACCCTCAACGTTTTTGATGACTTTTTTAAAAATCTTCTTGGTTTTTGGGAAATTTTAAAATGGAAAAGATAGAAAATGTCGGTAGAGAACTGACTGACAAGAAACTAGACAAGCAATATAAAAAAAAAGATCTGATTTTAGTCTAGTTTAAATCGTATTATTCAGTTTCTGATCGGTTTTAATCATGGTGGTTATAAAATGCATTTTTCTCGAGTTTTAATTTCGAAACTAAAATTTTTGAATAGCTTCTCTGACTCATCGGCTCAACAAATGGTAAATATAATGTCAGACCAGACTTTGACATACATACCATACTTCGGATTCTTATACCAACAAATACTTCTTCATACAAAAAAATGCCGATAAAATAGATTCAAATAGTTCATTTCTTGATTGAGTCCATTAAAAATGAGTTTTCTGCGTCAAAAACAGTTTTTTCGCTTTCTTATCGGAAGAACATCCCTGAAAACTGATTCGAAGTGTCAAAAAT